CTCAAGGGAGGCCCACTCCTGGCAGAAGCCAGAAAACTCTCTCAGCTGGTGGGGAAACCATATCCCAAAAGATGTTCAAAGGGTCAGGGACCTCTCTGTAGACTGCTCTGGGCCAGAGGGGCTGCCCCCACCCTTGTTCTCAGCATGAGGGCGTCTTAAGCTTTAGAAAGATCACACCGGCAGCCAAACCCACTGGGCCTGTGGAGTGAGCCACCTCTGGCTGGGCTGGTGGGGTCATATCTTGGGTGTGGGATGGGCTCCTCCCACACATCTTGTCCAAGAACCTTGGACAGTGGGATGTGGACCCTGGGCTAGAATCCTCAGACCTCAGGGCAGAATGCACAGGGCACGGGCCGTATCCCAACCTGTTTATGACTCTCCCTCAGGACCACAGAATCCTTGGGAATTGCCTCCATCTTCCTTCCCTTGAAGAAAACCTGGCCCAACTATCCCTTAGATAAGAATCTGTCTCATTTAAAGACCTTGACTGAGAAGCTGATTTTACATTCTCCCTCCCTTGGTAGCTGTTACAGTGTTTTATAAACCACATTGGCTACAAGCCCTTTCTCATAGCCAACCAAGATGACTCCTTAACGAAAGCCTATCTCGGTTTTAGGTCTTGAGTGCAGAGGGGGTATAGTTGGCTTCCATTTGTTAGCAAACTTCCCTAATGAACAAAATTGCAGAAGTTGCCTGCCTAAGAGGTTTTGGCTTAGGACTCAAGATTATTCCTCTCTCTGACTATGAAGAAGGTGCCCAGAGTTAACAGCCTTGTAGGAAATATTAGTAGTAATATCAAATCACTCTACAGATAAAGAAGAACATACTTGTATGTCTGAGTTTCACCTCCAGCCCTACCCCAGACTTCCACCTAAACCTGGACTCAGATGATCAGAGTGGGAAGGAGCCCTAGTGGTTATTCAATGCACCAACACATTGGGATTATCTTCCTCTCCCCATGGCTATCTTCCTCTCCAGCCCTCTTTTCTCTGCCTGACAAACTATGTCTCACCCTTTAGAGCTAGATGCAAATATCACCTCCTCTATGAAGCCTGCCCTGAGATTTCAGGTCGAATGAATTGTTCCCATTTCTGTTTGACACCATGCTAAAGCATGAATGAGTTTGTACTATAAGCATTCACTTAGGACTGACTCTCTCTCTCTCTCTCTCTCTCTCTCCCTTTCTCCTTCCCTTCCTTTCCCTTTATCTCTACTCCTCCACACTTCATACTAGACTGTGAGCTCCTCCAGGGCAGAAATCATGCCTTAATTTTCTTTGTATTCCCACAAATGACATAGTACATGTTTCCCCCAATCCCTGCCCCAAATTTATAAAATTTTTCAGCTGTGAAAATTGAGACCAAAAATATTAAGTAACTTGACCAAGGTTATATAGCTGATTAGTGGCAGAAACAGGACCAAAACCCAGGCTTTCTGATTTCACCTCTCTGCCTCACTCTAGGGCCCCCCATTTATTGCTTCCTGCTTATCTCCAGTTTGGACTGCCTCCTCCCAACAAACCCTCCCACTTTCTGCTTCTGACATCACACCCTATCTCAGCCTTCACCCCCACACTTCTCATCAGCCTCTAACCTTAAAAGGAAAGGCCTCTCCCTCCACTTCACCCTTCTTTTTACACATCCACATCCATCCATCCTGCAACCCATCCAGCACAGCCTTACCCCACCCAAAACCCTCCCTGATTAACTCCAACCCACCCAACTTGACTTCCTTCATAGGCAACAAGCTTGTATCTATTCTACATGGTCCCACTGAGCTGGGTCACCTACTCCCTCCTGAGTGCTTTTTGTTCTGTTTCCTGTTTTGTCCCCTATCTTCTTCCTGTAAATCAGGAGTTCCATGAGGAATCCAGATACTCCATTCTTTGTACCTCCATAAATTCCTTTACACACAGTCAGTCCATATAAACAGACTTACCCAAGAAGCAACTCAGGTTGAGCTTTGACAGGAAAAGAGTTGTTTCTTAGATTCTGGACCACATCTGGCATGCAGTCAATCCTAAATAAGTGCTGCATTTGTCAGTACTCTTTTGAGGGGATACTGAAGAGGAGATCCAGATATGGGATTGAGGGTTGGGGAAGGGGTTGGAGGCAAAGGCCCTTTCCAATACTGAAAGGTATGAATCTCTGAATAAACACCCTCAAACTTTACTGAATCTTTGTAGCTCTCACACCTGACACAGTATAAATGACCCCCAAAATTTATAGAATAAAGGGTTTCTTCTGAAAGTCCTTACCTGCCTATTGAAATCCAGGCCATTTCGATCATTTCCTGTAAGAGATAAAAAAGAAAATATTAGTTGCTAGAAGGATTAGAAGAGATTGAAGGTTAGAGGGAAAATAGGATGCCGGGAGAAGCTTGTCTTTACTTCGAAAAAGAACACCCACTTTCCCTATGGTTAGGATCCTCCTGCTTATCCTGTTTTCTGGAAAGGTCTTTGGATAATCTCTTCCAGGGATGTGGATAACCAGGGAAAGGGCACCCTGACTTCTCCAAGGTCACAAAGAGCGGACTGGGATTAGAATTTGCCATGCCAGAGCGCAGGTTCTGCTGCACTCCCTCAGAGAAAAGCTATTACAGACACTTTCATGGGTAAGCACGGAATGACCAGCTACACATCCTAGAGGAATTGCCTTAAGGCAAGAAGTCCTCCCACATCCTAGCCCTCCAGGAGTAATGACACCTAATTATGTCAGGTCGATAGGTGTCAGTCCTGTTTCTCCCCACCCTTCAACTTTCATTACTTGTTCTGTTCAACTTTTTCCTTTTATAATAAATATTGGGTTGGAAAAGTAAATACGTGCTTAATAAAGAAAACTTTTGGTACATAAAAAGTACAAAGTCATTAAAAAAAGAAAAACTATAGGCCAATATCTCTGGGGAACATAGATATAAAAACCTTCAACAAAATATTAGGAAACTGACTCAGGAATACATGAAAAAGATCATACACCATGATCAAGTGGTATTCATTCCTGGGATGCAAGGTAGGGTCAATATCCACAAATCAATTAACACGATCTACCACATAAACAAAACGAGAGATAAAAACCATATAATCATATCAGTAGATGCAGAAAAAGCACTTTACAAAATCCAGCACCCATTTATGATAAAAACTCTCAGAGATGTGGGAAGACAGGGAACATACCTCAACATAATAAAGGCCATATATGATAAACCCACGGCTAACGTCCTACTCAACGGTGAAAAACTAAAAGCGGTTTCCTTAAGATAAGGACAAGACAAGGATGTTCACTATCACCACTGTTATTTTAGTTTTTCCTAAGAAGGAAATTCATAGCAATATAAGCGTACCTCAAGAAACAAGAAAAGTCTCTATGTTTCTAGGAATTTATCCACTTCTTCCAGATTGTCTGATTTTTAACATATAATTGTTCATAGTATTTTTAAACGATCCTTTGTGTTTCTGTGATGTTGGTTGTCACATCTTTGCTTTCATTTCTGATTTTATTTATTTGGGCCCTCTCTTTTTAAAAAATTTATTAGTCTGTCTAAGGGTTATCAATTATTTTCTTTTTCTTTTCAAAGAACCAGCTCTTATTGATCTTACTGTTTTTGAGACTCTTTTTTATTTATTTCCACTCTGATCTTTACCATTTTCTTCCTTCTACTCACTTTGGGCTTTGTTTGTTCTTCTTTTTCTAGTCCCTTTACGTGTAAGGTTAGATTGTTTTTTTGAGACTTTTCTTGTTTTGTGAGGTGGGCCTATATTGCTATGAATTTCCTTCTTAGAACTGCTTTGGTGGTGTCCCATAGATTTTGGGTTGCTGTGTTTTAATCATCATTTGTCTCAAAGTATATTTTGATGTCTTCCTTGGTCTTGTTAACTCATTCATTGTTTAGCAGCATGTTATTTAGCCTCGATGTGTTTGTGCGTTTTTTTCAGTTTTCTTCTTGTAATTGATTTCTGCTTTCATACCATTGTGATCAGAGAAGATGCTTGATATGATTTCAATCTTCTTAAATTTGCTGAGACTTGTTTTGTGGCCTAACATGTAGTCTTCCCCAGAAAATGTTCCATGTGCACTTGAAAAGAATGTATGTTCTGCTGCTTTGGTGGCAAAATGTTCTAAAAATATCAGTTAAATCCATCTTGTCTAATTGTTTAAGGCCACTGTTTCCTTGTTGATTTTCTGTCTGGATGATCTATCCATTTATGTCAGTGGGGTGCTAAAGTCTCCTGCTATTATTACTGTATCACTGTTGATCTCTCCCTTTATGTCCATCAATATTTGTTTTACATATTTAGGCACTCCCATGTTGGGTGCATTAATGTTCACAGGGTTATATCCTCTTTTTGGATTGATCCCTTTATCACTATGAAATGTCCTTTGTTTCTTGTTATAGCCTTTGTTTTAAAGTCTATTTTGTCTTTTTTTTTTTAAACCTTTTTCCCCTCACTTTTTTTAAAATTATTTTTTATTGTGAAATACGCATTTTTTAGAATTAGTTTCAGCTGTACAGCACAGTGTAATAGTTATACTTTTTACCCCTCGAGGTGACAACCCCCCGCCCGTATTGCTACCTCAGCTTTTGTTTGTTTGTTTCCATTTGCATGAAATGTCTTTTTTCATCCCTTTACTTTCAGTCTGTTTGTGTCTTTTGGGCTGAATTGTGTCTCTTGTAGGTATGATAAGTATGGATCTTGTTTTCTTGTTCCTTCAGCTGCACTATGTCTTTTTATTTTATTTTTTAAAGATTCTTATTGGGGAATTGGGGGGATGGGAACAGTGCTGGGGAATTGGGGGAAGGGGAACAGACAAGTTGCTGTCCTTTTGTTCTTCTCTCTAGATGTGGAGGACGTTGCTTCACTGGCCCAAGTTGGCACCATCATTGCGCTCTTCCCGAGCGAGGCACATCAGTCACTGGCTTCTGGACGGAAGCTCACGCTGGCTGCTGGCCGCTCACGCTGGCTGCTGGCCGCTCACGCTGGCTGCTGGCTATACATGGTAGCCCATGGCAACCCAGCTGCTGTTGCCGGTGACTCACGGCAGCCCAGCTCCAGGTCGAGCTGTTCAGCATCTTAGCTGTAGAGGGCAGTGTCACTGGCCCTCATATGTGGGATCCGAACCGGGGCCCTCTTGCGTCCCAAGCCAGCTCTTAACCATCGCGCCACTCAGCCGGCCCTGCACTACATCTTTTGATTGGAGCATTTAATATATTGACACTTGGAGTGATTATTGATAGGTGCAGTTATTGCCACTTTCTTATTCATATTTGTGTTCTATTTTTGTCCTCCTCCTTGTTCTTTTTCTTAAAGAAGCCCCTTTAACATTTCTTGTAATACTGGTTTGGAGGTGATGAACTCCTTTAACTTTTTGTTTAGAAAGCTCTTTATGTCTTTTTCAATTTTAAATGATAACTTTGCTGGGTTTTAGGTCCTTGCTTTTCATCACTTTGAATGTTTTATGCGAATCCCTTCTTGCCTGCAACATTTCTGTTGAGTATCAGCTGATAGTTTTATGGGAGATCCCTTGTATGTAACTAACTTCCTTCCTCTCACTGCTTTGAAGCGTCTCTCTTTGTCTTTCACGTTTGCATTTTAATTATGGTGTGTCTTGGTGTGGGCCTCTTTGGGTTCATCTTGTTGGGTATTTTCTGTACTTCCTGAACTTGTATGTCTATTTCCTTTGTCAGGTTAGGAAAGTTTTCAGTTATTATTTTTTCAAATAGCTTCTCAATCCCTTGGTGTCTCTCTCTCTTTCTGGTAACCCTATGATATGAATGCTGTTACACTTGATGTTGTCCCAGAGGTACCTTAAACTATCCTCATTTTTTAAAATTCTTTTTTCTTTTTGCTGTTCTGATTGGGTGTTTTCTACTACCTTGTCTTCCAAGCCGTTGATTTGATCCTCTGCTCTATCTAATCTGCTGTTGATTCCTTCTTGTGTATTCTTCATTTCTGAGTGGTTCTTTTTTATGTTTTCTATGTCCTTTTTTATGCTTAGTATCTCTTTGTTGAAGTTCTCACTAAGTTTCTTGATTATCCATATAACCAGTTCTTTGAACTCTGTATCTGGTCTATTGCTTGCCTCCATTTTATTTGGTCCTTTTTCTGTAGTTTCATTCTTTTTTTTATTTGGGACACGTTTCTTTGTTCTCTCATTTTGGCTGCCTCTCTGTGTTTGCTTCTATGTATTAGGTTGATCTGCTACATCTCCCAGTCTTGGCAGGGTGGCATTACGTAGTAGGTATCCTATGGGACCCAGTAGCACAGTCTGCCTGGTCACCTAAGCTGGATGCTCCAGGGAGTGTCCCTTGTATGGGTTGTGTGTGTCCTCTTGTTGTAATGGAGCCTGAATTGCTATTAGAACATGAGTGGGTGGGATTGACCCTCAGGCTTATGAACTGTGAGGATTGGCCATGACCACAGTGCATGTGTTACAGTGCAGGGACTGACTGCATGGAGAGAGATTCACCCCAGAAGGATCTGGTACCTGCTGAGACCACCCTTTGGGTGTGCTGCTTGTGAGGTTAATTCGGTGGTGCTCTGTTGTGGTCTGATGCTGGTCATTCTGGGCCTCTTGGGAGGGGCTCCCATGAAGGTCAAGTTCAACTGCTGCCTGTGACCAGTCCAGGGTTAGCTGATAGGAGCAACAAAGTGATTCAAATTTAGTTGCTGCCTGTGCTGAACCTGGAGCTGCATGGTAGAAGCAATGCTGGGAACCAAGGCTGGCTGCCACCAGTACCAAGCGTGGGGCAGCTCAGAAAAAGGCCCAGGGCATCCCGAGTCCTGCTGCTACCTGCTGGCTTGCCTGTAAGGCTCAGCTATTGAAAGAGCCTCGGGCAGTATGTGATTTGCGTAAGCAGGTTCTCAGGGAGTCACCAGGGTCTGGTGAGTAGTATTCACAGGGTTAATTCAGATTTATATTTGGCACCAGTGCAGAGCCTGGGACCACTCAGCAAAAGCCATAGAGCACACCACATCCAGTTGCCACATGCCTGGGGCTTGTGGTCCCAAGAGTTGTCGATGAAGACTACAGCATAAGGTAATGCCAGCTGCCTGCCACCAGAAGAGCCTCAAGTTGTGTGTGTGTTGATTGGGGCAGGGTCCCAGGCAGTCACTGGGTGGAGCGAGCAGAGTTCACTAAGCCAATGTAGATTCAGACTGAGCTGTGTCATGTAGATTCAGATTTAGCCGTGTTGGGGGAGGGCTCAAAACAGGAGAAATGGCTCTTGCTCACAGGCTGTATGAAAGAAGGACTCAACAAAGGGACAATGGAGGCTGTCTCTCCAGCCCTCACCCT